TGATTGATTTGCGAATGTTGAACCACCCTTGCATCGCGGGGATAAATCCCACTTGGTCGTGGTGGGTGATCCTTTTAATGTATTGTTGGATCCTATTAGCTAGGATTTTGTTGAGGATTTTGGTTGAGACTTTTTTTCTTGATGAGTCAGCTAAAGGTTTATCAGTTTTGTTTGCTTTTCAAAGAACCAGCTCTTAGTCTCATCGATCTTTATTTTAAAGATTTTATTTATTTGACAGAGAGAGACAGCGAGAGAGGGAACACAAGCAGGGGGAGTGGGAGAGAGAGAAGCAGGCTTCCCACGGAGCAGGGAGCCCGATGCGGGGGCTCGATCCCAGGACCCTGGGATCATGACCTGAGTAGAAGGCAGACGCTTAATGACTGAGCCACCCAGGCACCCCTCTTCGATTTTTTCTATTGTGTTTTTTTTTCTCTATTTATTTCTGCTCTGATCTTTATTATTTTCTTTCTTTTGCTGAGTATGGACTTTGTTCTTTTTCTGGCTCCATTAGATGTAGAGTTAAATTGTTTGAGATTTTTCTTGTTTCTTGAGGTAGGCCTGTATAGCTATAAACATCCCTCTTAGAAGGGCTTTTTCTGTGTCCCAAAGATTTGAATTGTCGTGTTTCCATTTTCATTTGTCTCCAGGTATTTTTTCTCTTTGATTTTTTTGACGACACATTGGTTGTTTAGTAACATGTTATTTAGCCATGTTTGTGTTTCTTCCAGTTTTCTTGTAATTGATTTCTAGTTTCATTTGGTTGGATAAGACAATTGATATCATTTCAGTCTTAAATTTATGAAGACTTGTTTTGTGGCCTATTATGTGATTTTGAATGTGTATTCTGTGGTTTTACATGGAATGTACTATATATATATGTTAAGTCCATCTGGTTTCATGTATCATTCAAAGCCATGGTTTCCTTACTGATTTTCTGTCTCAGTGATCCACTGACATAAGTGGGGTGTTAAAGCCCCCTACTATTATTGTATTACTATCAACTTTTCCCTTTATGTCTGTTAATATTTGCTTTATATGTTTAGGTGCTCCTGTGTTAGGTACATAAACTATATCCTCTTATAGGAGTGATCCCTTTATGTAATGACCTTTTTTGGTCTCTTATTACAGTCTTTTTTTTTTTTTTTAAAGAATTTATTTT